CAAACCCCCACCCCCCACCCACACTGGCAGGGCATGCCACAGTATATAAACAGAGAGCAAACCTCATTCCATTTTAGCACTGAAGATGTTACCTAGCCTGGTAACGAAATGTTTGCAAGAAAACAACCAAGCTCAGTGGACTCCACAGTTCAACCCTTAGCTACACATATTCGCTTCTATTGAATGAGGACTGGTAGGAGAATTCTCTGCAGGATATTGCCAAGAACAATCTCTTGATCATTTGTTTTCTTTCATTTTGTTTCTTCACAGGAAAGCACAGATCAAAAACATGCCTCCTTGCTGTCTGGAAGGAGACAGTGTTTTTTCCCTCACTGCTGCCCATCAGGAAGCATTTTAACTACCGTCGGCACAAAATTCCCATTGGACTTTTGTGCTGATGGCTTCTTTTCAAGAACAAACTTATTTATTTCCCCTGAGTGAGATAGTGATTCAAGACACTAAATCCCCATGTGGAAAGCAAGGGAGGGAGGGAGGGAGGAAGAGATGGGGGAAGGAAGATGTAATAGGCTGGTCCTCATACTCTGGAGAGCTGGAGCCACTGACTTGGAGTATCTGAAGTTGGAGTTCACTCTGGAGCACATGCCTGTGGTGTAATAGGAACTTCCGCACTCATGAGACCAGAGAGGGCTGCAAGCCTGTGTTAGAAAGGAGGAAAAAAAATGAAATACTAGGAGAAGTTTTTAGGGGCTACTCTTTTAGCCGCCTGGGTGCTTTCTGTGGAATGTGGGGCATTTCTCCATGAGCGTATTGCTGCTTGATGTTTGTCAAGGTGGAAGGAAATCAAAGTCACCTATAGGAAACAGAATCTCTGCATAGGAAGGTGGCTCTTTTGGGCATGCCAATTCCCAGGCATGGTGGCAAATTAAATGAAAAATCTGATTGTTCAAAATTTTGCTGTGGCAACCACTAGGCACCAGACATTTATTTGGTACCCTCCTAGTTCCCCACCTGCCTGGTTTACATTTTTAAAAGGTTATTTTAATGTAAAAAACACAATGAAAACGGAAGGTGGACACTGCAAAGTAAAGCATCAGCCTCCACATAATCTCTTCTTTCTAAGAATGCCTTTGGCCTCCATTTCAGAAAATGGGGAGGGGCTGCATTCCATGACTTTGTTTGGAAAGGTGCTGACTGATTTGGGAAAAAGGTAGGGAACAATTGGGGCACTTGGAAATGTGGTGAGATGCTACCAGGACACTTTGCCTTCTGGAAGGTTCATTATAAGTGGCAACTTATGTGAATGGGCAAGTCTCCGCCCCCAGTCATGAGGGCTTCCATAACATGGTCTCAAACTTCTGCATTTGCCCCTCTGTTCAAAATTTTGCCATCTGTGTGTCTTGACCATCAAGACATTTCGATACCTGAGGAGAGTCACAAATAAGTCCTCGCTTCTGATCTGCCTGTCAAGGAGCATAGTATAAATATCAAGGGAACTAACTTGAGGCAGAAAGTCCTAGCAACCTCTCTTCTGATCTTGGGCACTCAAACAGAATAATAATTTAAATCACAAGAATTTGCTGGATTTGCATGAAACCCAGAAATTGCAGTATGAGGCAGCCGTCTCATTCTGCCTAATAGTAGAACTGGATTTGGTGAAGAGGAGCTAGCTATGGGGAGCTTATAGGTTATTTATGTGTTAAATGTAGTTTTAAAATGACCTTCATCAGTGGCCTTGAAGTGCTGATACAGAACCATACATGGATTGCACTCTAAATTGAAGTTGGCTGTATCATCAGTACTAATGTTATTCTTTTTTAAAAAATTGTAAATGTCAATTAAAAACAGTTCTCATAAGCGAAGGTGAATGGTGGGCTCCAGGACAGAAACCATTGAAGACAATCCCAAAGAAAAGAGTGTTCGTAAATTATCCACAAATAGTTTCTTACCAAAAAGCTGTTGTCTTTGGGGTTGGTAGTTAAGCTGAGACCCAGGCGCATGTTATCCTTTCGTTCTGACACATTGGACAGAGTTACTCTTCCTTGGGGAAAAAGTATTAGAGTCAAGACATGCTGTAGGAAGAAGTGACAGACCTTGCAGAGGTAGAGTATGGTGATCCATTATCATCTTCACCACCACCACTACCATCATCTTCTTTTCTCCTTGACAGCTATAACACTTTCTCCCCATTGATCCTACATCAGGTTGACTAGGCACCTTCTATTCCAAAAGCTCTTGGGCCTACAGATCCGAAATTGGGAATTGTATTTCAGTAATACATGGAGGGTTAACTTTACCCCTGTCCTGGGCTAAATCCAGGCTCTTCAGGTTGATAACTTCTCCCACTGACTTACAGCTTCTGCGCATCCATTTAAGGAACTTGATTTGGGGGCAAATGTTTAAAGAGGTATGTTCACTTTACCAACTTTTAATAACAGACAATAGACACCATCTATCTGAGGTGACTTGGATTTTGCATGTAAATATAAACCTTCCTTTGTGCAGTTTCTAATAATTTCAGAGCGATACCCAGAGACATTAATCTCAGCCCTTCCACTCCACCACTTTACCTAGATTGAGCTTGGAACATGTACTGTTGGCCTTGCCATTCACTGAACACTTGTAGACATCTCCTGTTTTCTGGGGCCCATTGATCTCATATGGGGCTCCTACCACCAGCCTGGAAAAGAAAACAAAATCTGTAAATTTTTGGCCTTTGGGGAAGATGACTTTAATTCAGGATAACAACAGAGAAACTCTGTCTCCGCTAAATGCTTATAAATGGTTTGTTCTATCTATGCAAGGTGGCTGCCTCAGTGAGGGGTTTCTCGCTGCAAAGGTCATGATTCTTGGGGCACCCTAGATCCCCATCCTAAATCAGCAGTGCAGGAAAGTGGTGTGCTATGTCCCATCATCTGGGGGTAAGAAGCTTAAAAAAGTGTTGTGTGAGCCTGAATGTAGACTTTACACAGTTTAAAAAGAAAAGGAAAAACACCCCTATCCCTTCCGAGAGAACTAGGGAAAGAAAACCTTCAGCTGTACCCACATAACCCTGACTTTTTTTCTTCCTTGCACCCCCGCTGTAGCCTGGTCTCCAATGAAAATGTTAAGTTCTACTCCTAGCCACCAAAAGGTTGCCCATCCCTGTGCTAGGACAAAATAGAAAAAGCTACAACATGGCATAGCATGTTTCATGAAACAGGCTACTACATCTTGTCCCCTTCTTGACCTGGCATCAGGATCCTGATACGGACCTCTATCTGCTCTCCAGGATCCTGTTGGATGATTGAGGCTGCTGGTTGGGAAATATTTGCCAGCAGAACTGCAGAGGAGATTGTTTCTCAGCACCCAACCACATTCAATGCACAAGCTGTTGCTCATCTGACTTTAGCAGCTCCCCACAGCAGCCGGGACCATAAGGAATTCTAAACAGAGACTGATTCCTTTTGGAGCAGAAATATTTTTTTAAATCACCCGAATCAAATGCTGGCAGGAATCAGAATTCTGATTTTATGCTGGTTGATTTTAACAGAAGAAGAATTGCAGTGGAAAGTAAACACTAACACTTAGTGCTATTTCTAAAAGCAAGATTTGGGCTCTGCCCCTTTCCACAGGACCACTAGCTTTGCCCCACCTCCAAATCCTCAGGAGCTGCCAGCGGAAATCCCAAGAGCCTAGAGGCAGGACATGGGGAGGGTTTATGAATGTGGGAAACCACCTACCCTGAAGCTACAGAGGACTGCAGCCAATCTCTCTGGAGCAGCAGCTGAGCTGATTAACTTCTGAAGTTAATTGGCTGTTTGGCTCCACATCTAAAGACCATTAGAAGCCCACAGCATTGGAGGAGGGGCAAGAATTGCAGGTGGGAGGCCCTGAAGTAATATATGGCCTTTTAGATAGGTCTCCCTGAGCTTTTATGGGGCTTTCTCTTTCCATCTTAGAAGGTAGCAGTGCCCTGGAAACATGTGGGGGAATCATCTCACTTTGGAAATGGATCTACATCCCAGTCTGGAAGAGCCACTTAGATTCACAGACAGGTAAATGTGCCTGTAATCATAGTATCTTGATATCTGGATTAAAATATGGTATGTTTTAAACTGGATTTAGTAAGGATAGGAATGAAGATGGTTGTCTGAAAGACCCCCCATGAATGCATTTATAAACATTCCTGATTCAGGATATTGTTCCCTGCAATTAATTAAGCACAATATATTGCACCAAACTTTATGCTGCTATAAATTTATTAGTATTTAAAGTGCCACAAGACTCTTTAAAAAATAGATTAACACTGTCCTTCTAGAAAGTTTTAACACAAGTCAGTTTTAATGCCATTCTTATATTTTATTGCACAGCTTTTTGGTTTAGTTTTGCAAAGAGTGAATCCAAATGTTTCAACAGGTCAGCTGCCATGCCTCATGAGAACTTCTCCTTGGAACAGTAAATACTATTCAGACATCTGAAGCAATTAAATTATTTCCCATTAAAATATCTGGGAAAATAATTAATTTTAACAGTGTCTGCCTCTATAGATGGACTGTGTTTAAAAGATGTTATGGAAGAGGAACACGTTTTACTGGACAAGACTGAGACTGATCTGAAAATGGATTTAAAAATAACAGGCTACAAGAATGATATGGAAAAAGACGCTACACTGTATATACAAATGAAACCAGCTGATGTCTTAATAATTAAAAGGGATATACAAATAACAATACAAAAGAGTGATCTGGATAACTTTCCTATATTGGACTTACAAAAGAAACTTGTTAAAGCTTTGAAGAATTTTGGGAAAAGGGACAAAGAAAAAATGAAAAGAAATCAAGTTCTAGATATTATTTGAAGGGTTTAAAGATCAAGATTTTTAAAAATAAAAGGAAGGAATATAAAGTTGGTTTATTTGATCAAGGTTAAAATGTTGTTATCGCTGGTAACCATTAAATCCATTAAGACTTTTGCTGATATCAGCACAGAAATGACAAGGCTTTAATGATTAGTTTAGAGATAAGAGATGGGTTAGGGGAAGAAGAGATCATTTGTTGTATTTTAAGAGAAGGTGTTAAGTTACTAAAATTGTTTATACTTGTGATGAAAGGGGATGTCATTTCTTTTCCTTTCCTTTACTATATTCTTATTTTTTCTTCTCTAGTTTTCTATTTTTTTCTTTTCTGCACTTTCTATTTTTCCTTTTAATTCTTTTTTTTTTAGTTTGTATTAGTTATTATCTTCTTAATTGTAATTTTTAATAAAATTACTATAAAAATATCTGGGAAAATATTTCTGCAGCTGCCAAGTTTCCATGCAACTCAGTGGCTGCAGATTATTAACAATCTAAAGTTCAACTTGCTGGGAAAAAAGAATCCCCACTCTTCAAGAAAAAATAATAGTGGTTTCCATTTGTTACAAGATTTTGTCACATTCGTTATCTTGACTGATAAGAGTTTTTGTTTCCTCTGCATCTGAGCCTGAATGATACATAGCTCAGTGCTTTATATAGCTTTGGAACTGGGGCACATTTAGAATTGGGTGGGATTCAACATGTTATGAGAAGTGCTAATAAAATTCTAGAAGTAACCACAGCATTTTGATGGGGATAGTCATTTTATTGTGTCTTGGAATGAAAGATCCTGTAAGGAAGGAGCAGAAGACCTGGGTGGCTTTCAGTTACTGCTAACTGAAGAGATGTATTTGATCTCATTTCACTAGCATGAACTCCAATACTGCATTTTCTAAAAAATTACATTGTTTTTAGACAACATAAGAAATGACCTGCTGGATTAGGTTATTGGTCTATCAGAGAAGGGATGGCAGGGGGAGTCAAAATGGCAACTACAACAGTGTGATTGAAATATGTGGAGGGAGCTTAGTTAATAAGAAGAAAAATATGAAGCAGCAGATTATGCAGACCGTAGTAGGAACTAAATAGCCTGAAGAAAACTCCTGAAGTAAACTCCAGCTGGCCTAACAAGTTGGTACGACTACCTCAGTCTTTAACTGGTCAAAACTGGTCCTTCTCTGCAGATAAAGGAGGAATATCTATATAAACTGCCTATATAAACCCTAACCCTCTCTCTCTCTCTCTCTCTCTCTCTCTGGTTTTTATGCAAGCCCCTTTTTCCTTTCTAGAGAATTGCCTGATGATCATTGATCTTTCCCCTTCATGGATCACTGCCTTGTCGTGGCGAAGGGGCTTGCGTAACTCAGTGAA